CATGTGGTGCTGGGGGATTGAACTGCAGTCCCTGTGCTTTGCTAAGCTTGTTCTAAGTAGGTGCTTTAGACCACTGAGCCATCTCACCAGCCCTACTATACTCATCTTAATTCAAATAAATATACCACGTGTCACTTTCACATCTTCATATAAATCAGACTGAATGTTTAGTTTATAAATATTTTGCTGTACCTATACGCATGTTTATGGAATTTTTGTCTTCATCAAAAAATAAAAATTACTAGGGTCGGGGAGATGGTTCAGTGGAGTAAGCGCTTCCCTGGCAAGCACAAGGGCCTGAGTTCAATCCCTGGGTCCACCAAAAAAAATAAAGAAAGAAAGAATAAAAAGAAAAATTATAAATAAAACATGTATAAACTACCAGTTAAAAGAAATAGTTTATGAGGTTCATTCATGCTTCTCAACCATTCTAATAACAAAAACAGATATTCTATTAGCAGAAGAGTTTATGTGGACCAGGCATGCTACCACACACTCATAATCCCTGTACCCTGAGACCGAAGCAAGAGAACTGAAAGTTACAAGGATCAAATCCTAATCACTAGACCACCATGGAAAGTGAATCAAAAGTCAGACTCCAATCTAGGCAATATAGTGACATAACAAGACCCTGTCTCAAACATTAAAAGTTAGAAAGAGCTGAGCATGTTGCTCAGTATGAAGGCCTGGGTTTGATCTCCAATACCACCAAAAGCAGATGTCACTCAGTTTGTTCCTCAAAAAAGGCTACTGATGTTTATTTTTCTTCCAAATGATACCACACTAACCAGAAATCTAGCCAATAGTGGTAGCACATACCTGTAATCCCAGCACTCAGGAAGCTAAGGCAGAAGGATCACCATGAGTATGAGGCCAACCTGGACTACATAAACTAGTTCAAGGTCAGTCTAGACTACACAAGTGAGATTCTGTCTCAAATAAATAAACAAACAGAAATCTAGAAGGCAACATGAAAATAGTGATTCTTCCCCCTTACCTTCTCTTTTCTCAATTCTTCTTTTAACATTTCCCGTAGTTTCTGGGCTTTGTATATTCGGTATCTGTCTGAGCATGGTGGTTTCTCTTTTGTTGGAATGGGGCTTGGCTGTGAAACATCTTGATTAGCTGTAGATAAGGGAGGAGACGGTGCAGGAGCACTGACAGTAGGCTTAGCAGGACTAGAAGTACTTGATAGTTGCTGTCTCCTCTGGGAAACAGAAGAGGATGATGTACAGGATTCTTCAACATTATTTTCACCACCAATCTTTTCATCACTATTGGAATTAGAGAAAAAAACATTAATCTTTTTATGTATACTAGTTTTAAAGTGTAGTGTGAGGTAGGTATGGCACACACATGATATCCCACCACTTGGGAGACCAAGACTTTGAGGTCAGCCTGGGCTACATACCAAGTGCAATGCCAGCCTAAACTACAGTGATACTGTGTCTCAAATACATACATACATACATATATACATGCCACTATAACACATAATCTGGTAAAGTATCATAGCAACAAACCTGCACTACTTAAAAAGAATTACATGGGGCCGGGGAGATGGCTCAGTGGAATAAGTGTTTCCCTGGCAAGCGCAAGGGCCTGAGTTCAATCCCTGGTTCCACAAAAAGAATTACAAGGGGCCTGCCCCTTAGCTCAGTTCTTTAAAAGGCCGTTTCAACAAAGCAGTCAGGCTCAGGTTGCTGTGGTTCAATCCCCACAACTCAAGCCAGCTAAACCTGCCCTGAAAGCATTAGGAGCAAAAAAAAATCCCTTTTAGAAGCATTTATTTAAATTCTATAACTTTTTTATTTATTGAGGGGAAAAAAAAAAAAAAAAAAAAAAGAAGAAGAAGAAGAAGAAGAAGAAGAAGAAGAAGAAGAAGAAGAAGAAGAAGAAGAAGAAGAAGAAGAAG